TTTACCGATTGAACTATTTGAGCATATGTTTGATTTGATGGTGCTAAATGAATTATTGAATTAAATCCAATTTTATTTTTTAAAAGATCAAGTAGCTCCCACATATAACCACTATACCGTATATTAATCTGTCCAGTATTATCTGTTATATTTTCAACAATTAGAAATGGGGGTGCTCGAATAATACCAATTCGTAATGTTACACCTTTAAGAAGTGCTCGATCAGATGGTTTTATTAATGTAGTTCCTGGCCATATAATAACATTTTCTTTTAAAGGTGTTCTCCAATTTCCAGGATCCACATATTCTAATACAGACACAAAATTTAAACCATTGGTCAAAGATTGAAGATTTTTTAAAGAATAATATAAACCATTTATTCTATTTGTAGAATTAGAAGTAAATTGTACAGGACCAGATACACCAAGAAATTCTGTTGTACTAAGTGTATCTAACAATAAATTCGATTGATTAAAACGATTATCAAAACAGAATGAAGATTTAACAAATGATAAACATGAAGAAGAATTATTTATTGTTGATGAACACAATTTTTGTAATGATTGAATTAATGTCCATGTTGCATCAAATGCAAATAATGCATAATAATTAACGTTTGTCGATCCAGGATATGTTTCATTTTCATATTGTTGCCAAATATTAAATGCTGAATCTAATAATGTTTGATTAATTGGTGCATTGACAACTGATCCTACAACTGGTTCAATAAGAAGCATTCCAATTAAATTTTCCTGAAATGTTTTATTAAAAGAATCAAATGAAACACTAGAACTTAGTATCCATGTAAAAGATGGACCAACTAAATTCAAATCAAGAGCTTTTTGTAATATAATAGATGTATAAATTGATTCAGCCCATACAATAACAATTCGTGTTGGACTATTAACTAGAGAATTTTTTAAATCTCCACGAAACCCACGATAACTAATATCAAAGATAACCATTTGTGTTACTGTTAATTTACTTTGATTAAATGCTTCATTTATAGCTTTGGCTCCACCAGATCCAAATGCATCATTTTGATAAATAATTGAACATGATGTCCAATTAAATCGAATAAATAATTTAACAGGGGATGATGCAGCTGCATCATCCGAAGGAACTGTACGATAAAAAGTTGGATAAGTTTTTTTATCAGATAAATCAGGATCAGTAGAAGCATATGATATAACAGGTATACCAAGTTTTTCGCCAAAAGGAGCTACTAATTGAGATTCTCGCGATAATTCTGGACCAATGATACCAACTGTATTTAAATTCAACACTGCACGACATGCATCGCTAAGCGCATCAATTATACCCCCAGTAGTTTCCGCTACTTGCCATCCTAGAAATTCTCCGTCAATTGTTATATTATATCGATGAGAAAGTAGCACTGCTGCCTTAAACATAGCCTGATAATGGAAAGACGGATGGCTTATGTTAGCTGCGTCTGGTATATCATAAAAAAGGCCTAACAGACCAATCTCAGAAGAGTTTGATGATGGCCAAATTGCTATTACATTATCTACATTAAATTGTCCAAGTATAATGTATAACAACAAACATCGAATGTTACAGAATAATAACATCGTTGTTCGATTGTTCCACGAATAAGATAATTGAAGTAGGTATTAGAGAAAAAATAAAGTATACTAAAATTTAAACACAATAACAAACTATAATATAGATGGCATAAATTCAGAGATCGAAATAAACAAAACTTTTTTTGTGATATTTTTACATGGTTCGATAAGGCGTGACAAGTTCCACCAGAACATCTACATTAATAAAATATATTTAAAATAGAATTTAAGATAGAATTTACAAGAAACCTTAAAACAACTTTGAAAAAAAAGTCTCTTGGCTTTTCTTATAGAAGAAAAATGTTCAATTTTTCAAAAAATTTCGATCGTTCGATTATTAGTTTTCATCATGGGAGAAAGTGCAGGCACTGTGCTCCAAATTATTCTCAAAGGTACTGAAAATGTACTGAAAAAGTGCTGAGATGGTGCTGTGGTGCTCATAGAGTTTTGAGCAAGGCGAAAAGTACAGGTTCGGAATCACTAGCATCTCAACACCTTTCCAGCACCCCCTCAGTACAATTTCAGCACCTGTTGGCATTAGAAGTTAATAGTGGTAGGGGTGTACAGCTCAAACTCGAGACAGCGGTTTCTCGGCTATTCTAAGGAGAAAACATACCAATTTTCGCGTCAAATGAAAGAGGATCCTGGACAACCCGAGGGCTGGCCCGAACAAGCCTATGTTTTGCCGTTACTATAGAGAAAAAAAACTCTGCTAAAATCTGATTGATTGATAGCTTTTTCGTATCAACCAATCAGATTGCGAGACGCTGTTTCTCAGCTATTATAAGAACAAAACGCACTGATGTTCGGATAAAATGAAAGAAGAGCCTGGATAACCCTTGAATTGGTCCGAACAAGTCTATGTTTTGTCCTTACAATAGCTGAGAAATAGCTTCTCGCAATCTGATTGACTGATACAAAAAGGCTATCAGTCAATTAGATTGCAACAAGGTTTTTTCTCTATAGCAAGGGGAAAACATAGACTTGGTCGGACCAGCCCTGGAGTTATCCAGGATCCCCTTTCATTTGACTCGAAAATTGGTATGTTTTCTCCTTAGAATAGTCGAGAAACCGCTGTCTCGAGTGTGAGCTGTACACCCCTACTAATACGAACTTTCAGTACCAAAAGATGCTGAGAAGCTGGGGGTTTCGAATTTGCACTTTTCCTCTTGGTTTTCATCTACATTCGAACCTTGAGAAAGTATTCATTCGTCATAGCAGATCTCGCAAGTTTATTAACGAGCTAGAATGGTTGAATTTAAACAAATTTTCATATAAATCAGCTCACTATAGTTATTCGAAATAAAATAATGATTACTATATCGACACATTAAATTGGCTTTTCCTCGACGCTCTTTTATTCTGCTCTTTTTTGCCTTATCCTTCAACTTGTTCATGTCAATACCAAATAGGACTCGAAACGGGCCGCCCGTCCAGGCCTAATTAAAGTTTTTTGTCGGACGGGGCCCGGCTCGACACTTTTATTGTTTTTTTTCAATTTTTTAGTAAACTATATGCTCATTTTAGGAACTCGAAATTGTCATGAATATTTTTTCATCAATTAAAATCTGTTACTTTGATTCAAAATCACAGTCGTTGCATTTCTTTCGTTAAAATGTTGCTTGTAGTCGATAAATTTGAAGTACGTCAAAATTAATGTTCGTCTCATCACCAACAATGGGGTATTTTTCGTGTTTTTGATATAAAACTTGTGATTTTTTTTTTATTTTTGAAGTCTCCGAGAGGTATGACTAACATAATCAACTCGAATAATTGTTTAACTCAGTCATATTTCCCGTCTGCTTGTGAAGTTCTATGTTGCAAAAACGGTATTAATGAACAAGCGAAAATGATTCGCAGAAAAATGCGCCGAAAATAAGCCGTCACCCAGCACAGGAACTTTAAACAACACTTTATCTAATCCTTCACTTTTGATTAAGCACTGAATTCATAGCAAGTTTACCATTTTCTGGAAAACAGAGTAATTCTATGGATTTTGTGTAGGATTCCATGAAAAATTGTTCGCAAAAGGGTGATGATGTTGTGAGTTAGAGTACAGTAGAACATAGTCTATTAGGGGATCGAAAAAGTTCTAAACGATTAAATTGGGAGACTCATCTTCAAACTTTAGGTATCAATAAATCTTTTCTTGTTCACAAATTACTTTTGACCACTAGCTAGTTCACTGTATGGTCAAAATAGAAAAAAAATATCTCTACTAAGAAATGCGGTGAATTTTCCACAAGTGTAACTCAATTAAGACATGGTACCATAGAGGATATCGTGCTATGTAGAATGAACATTATGGAGTTCTACAATCTTGTATATTTGTATTTGTTTCACTTAAGAAGCAATTCAATTTCTTGTATATTAATTTTATTTTTAGTCCCACAGTCTAAGCTAATTAAACTCAAAGTAAGGCCGGCTATTTACTCCTCATTACATAAGCAACCACTGTAGTGATCTATAAATTTTATTGAGGAAACAAATGTGTAATACAAAAGTTTCGTTCGGACCTGGATCGGATTGGGCGGGCTTAACGAATACACTGGATCGGGCCATAAAAATGTGGCCTGTTTTGATCCTTGCTGAGTATAATCTTTTCAATGAAACAGTGTTTTCCTGCTTCCTTGCAAAACATACTCATTTCTTGTCTATCTAATAGCGCGAGAACAAAGTGTTTCTTGTGACAGAAACTTGTTCTTACTCTATAATAAAAGTGTCTAAGCATGTTTCCAATAAATATGATCACGAAAAGATTTGAATGACATTAATTAGAAAGATGCACAAATCGACGAATAATGAAAAAAAAGAGGATATTTTCGATCGTATATCATACTCTTCGATCTGTTATCGGCCTTTATTGATTGGTTCAATGGTATATTAAGATATAGCATGAAAAACTACCTCTAACTAAGGTAGAATCACTTCAGTTCAAAAGTATATAGTTTACGCAAGAACTCTTGGACGAAAAGTGCTTTTACTTCTTCTATCCTTATCCTGTTCATAATTCCCCATTAAAAATAATTGAATATTTATGGTGATCTTAATTCATCTGAATTATGATAGAACTTGGAAAGTTACATATAAAAAAAAACATTTTTTTCAGAGCTTTTAGCGGTTTGCCTAGGTGAGAAAAAAGGTGAAAAATTCTGTTTGGGACCTAAAAGTCAGATTTTGATAAAAGCTACTTCGCATTTCAGCATGACTGAGTTGATACTCATAGTTAATTTTGAAGAAATTCGTTTAAATCTCGTGGGAGGATATAGAAGCCAGAAAGGCCAAAGCTATTTCAAGAAAAATGACTACGCTAGGTTTGTAAGTCATATCAACCTTGTTGCCCTCATATAGTTACTTCTTGAAAATATTGTGTGTGTCGAATATTGGCCTTAAAGTCAGTTGTTCTTTCTAGGAAGAAGTTCGTTTCCATTTATCAATGCGTTGTTTTTAATAAGAATAGGTTTACTCTTTAAATCAGCTCAAAAAATCCGAAAACGAAGAAATGAATGGTTACCTGTGAAAATTAATTGTCTTTTTCTGTTATTCGAGTTTGTTTAATCGAGAAAATGTGACATGTGGAACTGTTTATAGAATCGATCTCTCTCTCTCTTTCTCTCTTTTTCTCTTTCTTTTTTTCTTCATTCGTTTTATCAATGCGGTGCGAAGCACAGCATTTATGTAGTCCTTCGCGAGTTTTTAATGCGGTGCGAAGCACAGCATTTATATAGTCCTTCGCGAGTTTTTTTGTAATGCGATGCGAAGCACAGCATTTACGTAGTCCTTCGCGAGTTTTTTTCTTTTTTTCCTACTTACTTGACGTATGCATCAAAAGTAGTCATTTTGTGTCGCGATGATCTCGAGAACGGAAAAACAGAAAAAAAAACTTTAAACGCGAGATGAAAGTATCAAGATCAAATCGTTGAAATTCGTTTTTCTTTTTTTACTAGAACGTATCATTGAATCATAAATAATTTAGAAAAAAGACGAATTTGAAAGATTTTATATACGAGATAATTAAAAGATACCAAGAAAAGTTAGCCGCAAGTCTCTTCGTTCAATCAGAGCGATTCTTTACAGCTGTAACTCAGCTGATAATAATAAAGTGATTGCAAAGATAATTAATGAATTAATGTAAATATCTGACATCTAGAAAAAAAATTGTGTTTAAGTTCTTATGGAGGTTTCATAATTATTTAGGACAATATGTCTATCCAACCTAATTAGATTACAACAAAAAAAAAATTGTTTTTCCTTATAATTTTCTGTTGAAAATATTTGAATTTCGTTTTTTAAAATTTTTAATAATATGTATTCATTTCATTTTAGATTTTTACATCGTAATTTACATCAAACAAAAATAAAACATTAAAACAAATCGTTTAAAGGAAATTACTTATATTATTAAGTTTCGAATATTTGTTGCCAAGTGTCTAGTTTATCTTCATCAAGTGTTGCTTCGAAAATTTGTTACCAAATGTCGAGTTTATCTTCATCAAGTGTTGAAGAAGATTCAGCACGAAAGAAACTTTTTTTTTAAGTCAATAATAATAAAATAATATAAAAAAAAAATTTTTAAAGGAAGTCGTCAAATTTTTTGACTTTCTAAAGTTTCTTGCTTATTGACGAGTTTATCTTCGCCTATTTTCAAAGAAGTTTTAACTCAAAAGAAACTTTTTTTTTAATTCAATAATAATAACATAATAAAAAAAACATCATTTAAAGAAAGTCACCTAGTTTTTTGACTTTCTAAAGTTTCTTGCTTATTGACGAGTTTATCTTCGCCTATTTACAAAGAAGCTTTAACTC